TGTTTAATTTGATAATCATAGTTTCAGTTTGATTTGTTTGATTATCATATTACAACGATATCAAAATATGAAAACTCGAAAGGAACAAGTATAATTTATAAATTATGTCATTTTTAATATTATCGTATTATTGTTTCTTACTTTTATTATCATTTCATCCATGACAAAAATTCGACGTTCAACGTCGATAAGTTGTGCCCCACCAGAGGAGAAATCCTGACTCCACCCCTGCTACATGTACGTAAAAATTTAAATGAGAAATTACATAATATCACGTGACACTACCATTTGCCAGTTTAAAACACAGTCAACTTTTCATTCAATATTTTATGTTATCCCTTATGTAAAATTGATGGAATGGAAAATTGATCAAGTGCCTTACGAGAATGGAAAATCGATCAAGTGGGCTTTTTCTATCCTGTTTATGACTGACAACATTCCCTGTTACCTTACAAAAGTATCATTTTCACAAATTTGCATAATAGCAAAAATTATAATCCGAAAAGCCCAATATTCACGTCAGTATTTCCAGTCACCAAATATTTTTGAACAATCAAAAATAGCATTACATAAAAATGGTAGAACAAATTAAATGACAAAATTCCCATAGATCCTCAGTTGCCAGCCCTAACCGATGCAGCAGCTCTCGACCGATAAGGACATTCAATTCGGAGGAACTCTGCTTGAGGGAGGCAAAAGTAGTTTGTTGAAACCATTCCACTTAAATTGTCTCCAAACTGTTCATGTTAGCACCACGCTCGCTCTAGAGAATTTTGGGATGAAACTTCGTCTTTATAATTGTTTATAGAAAATAACATAAGCCTGGTCGTGCAACACTTTGCTGGTGCTAATGGCAGTAGCTGATGCGTCGTCAAACCGTAACCACTGCCCATTAGGGTAAAGAGCATCAGCTGTATAATGCCCTTTTGAGGCATCACTGCCATGGTGGGTTATGGTCGATACAAGTTCATATCTTCGGCCCTGCACACCAAAACAGAAAAGGTTTCCAAGTATATTTAGTTGCTACTTAATCAAATTTGGTATCTGGTTTATCATATTGACAGAGGCAAAATTTCATTTCTAAAAATGATATATGGTTCAATAACATCCCCTTCTAACTACAGTCACAAAAGCTAAGTTCCTTTCAAAACTAGGACAAGATTACTGGTAAATATTGATGAACTTTCGAGGTTCCAGAAATCCTGGAAAATCTGCATGAAGGAGAAAGTAACTAAGAAATCAAAAATGATATGAAGGACCATTACCTCAGTGGTCGGCGAAACAAGCAGATCACGGGTTAGCACTAGTTCAGGAGGAAAGTGCACTGCTTTGTGTAACTTGGTGCTTCCAGAGCTTCCATAACCAAAACGCATCAGATGTAATATCATTATCTTGGGAAGTGATTGTATGTTGATAGATTTTCTGGCAGTTACAACTCCAGCCTGAAATTGAGTACAATATCATCATCCCCTCTATATCAACTACAACAAAGCTTAACCATCAAGGCAATAACATGAATTCAATCTTCCATCAAAAGTCAAGCATTAAAATCTAAGACCCCATTTTAATCTAACAAGATTGATATACTCTTGTTCCCACTTTAATTCTGCATTGGTGCATTTGGAGTGATTGATTCATAAGGAGAAGAGAGAGTTGTACTTTGTCAAGTCTCCTCCAGTTCTCTCAATTTTTCCAGGATCAAACTTCAATCATGGATGAATATATTTTGCAAGAAATCAAGAAATATTTTTGCCTGCAACTTGAAGCCTTTCTTGATTTAACTAAAGATTGAGATAACAAGGAAAATGACATTCTTATATCTTCTCTCACATTCCCTTCCAGCTTGTCTTCATCTTTTGCCAAAGTGATTAACTAATAGTTGCATTTTCGACTTAATCTGGTCTCAACTCTTAACCCAAGTGTGATGGAACATGAAACAAGACACCAGTTCATACAATGTTAATATTGAACCATGCACTTTGTATGCATCTAGGGGATAATTCATTCTTTAAAGCAAAGAGGGACAGATCTGCCATGCCTAACACGAAAACACATCTTGCTTAATTGACAGAACTGGCTTATCTGCCATAGGACAACTGAACACCCACTAGTTCGATTTCAGTCTAGAAAGAATATAAATCGGATACCAACAAAACAGATCAAATTTTGATTTTTCTGTTTGATGTGCAATATTTTAACATTGCTTCAATTTGATGTAGGGTTACAAGAATCATTTTGAAGCATGTTTTTCCCAGCCCCAAAATTACAACCCAAGTCTCTTTTTTGCTAAATCAAAATAATACTTCTTCCTCATAAATTTTGAACCACAACTTACATAAATTGTACGAGCTAAATCTTGAACCAAATGAATAACTCTACATGTTAATATATTTTTGTTTGGCATCTCAGCCTGGTTCAATTTCATCTCACACTAATCAAATCAAACTAAAAATCAGGAATTTTTTACCTATTAATGGCCACTCTTATAACAACATTGGCCAATTGAGATTCACACATACTTTCTTCAAAAGAGGTTTTGCAGCAAGATATAGGAAATATTAGCAGATTATAATTGACAGTAAAACACAATAAGATAACTTACCTTTCCCTTCATAGATGTCCGGTACTCCTCAAGTGTTTCCGAGGCAGAAAATAAGTGCAGAGCATCTTCAATGGTATGAACAGCTTCATGGGAAATGTCTAGATGGAGCAAAAGAAATGGCTGAACAGTGGCAGAGGCTTTGTTTCCTGTCCATAACATGGCCATTAATTGTTAGTTTGATGCCATTCGAGTAATATTTTGTGAACGACATTATGAATTAATATTCGATTATTCGCCTCTTCTAATTTGTAACAAAAATATAAAGTTCCATGATTATATAAGATGTCACAAATTGTATACTTAATGGTTCAAGTATAGTGAGACACATTTTGTGATGTGATCAAAATATATCGTTCTCAATCGGTACATAAAGTCGGACGCTTTATATTGATAAGATAAAATTATTCTTATTGAGATTTGTCTACATCTTGCGAATAAGAATAGTGATGTGTTTGGTGCATATTGAAGAGGACCACGTAGATGACTCATTTGTGACCGCTAAGAATGAAATTCTACTCGATCATCGAATGAGTCAACTAAATCCTGAGCTAATAATGTACCTTTGATTGCTATTTCAAGTTCTTTGATGTACCAATGAGTAAAGTCTTAATTATAAGATTGATGTTGTTGCTTTAGGAATCGGGGCGAAACAGTGAGATCATACACTTGCAATAATGAAATCCGTTAATCATCACGATGAGACGATCATCACTCCGAGGCATTTTCTATAGGCATTTGAACCTAAGCTCAGTGGTCCAACGATGTTGAAAGGGCAAAACGGTCATTTTGTAGATTTCAACATATTGATGGTCAAACGAGGTTAACTTATGGAATGATGATCGAAGGATATTGTTATCGGATCATAATTTGCTTCGATAATTATCATTCGATTCAAAGGTGCAATTTCGACTATTGGAAGAATAAGCCGGAATTAATAGACGTATCTTAATTGGTCAAGAATTGATCCAATTAGAAACATCTATTGAAACTTGGATCTTGTGAGTCCAGTTAAGTCCCTTCCTTGGCTCTAATATAGGTGCAAGACTTAATCAACCTATTACAATAAAGTCAAGGGAAATTGTGCAATCACTTTTCCCATTTGTACAAAAGAAGCAGCAAAAGAAATTTGTCAGAATAGACTAAAACGGTGGGCCCCACAGTGTATTTAAATATTTCAAAAAACGGCGGGCCCCACCTGCTTGTGTGTGGTCTGGTGTGTTTATGTGGTGTATAGTTACTGTAGACCCCGCAGAATTCTTGTGCAATTATGAATCCCTAATTGAGCATTAAAAATATGCCCCTTATGGGCACATTTTCTTAAGATTAGGGTTAG